TAGCATATGTGCCATGTGACTTTGCTCGACTCATTAGTATGCCATTAGAAAAGTTGGTTGGCATGTTGGATCATGTCCACAATGAAACTTTCCAACAATGGTACATAGCGTACAAAGGCCGATGTCCTGGCATGTATCCACTGTGGTATGATATTGTCTGTTGATATCGTGCTTGATAGCTGATGATTAACACAGGAACCTTGCTGCACTTGAAGTGGGTGGTGTTAGTTGTGTGACACATGATAGTTTTGAATCCTGGGATGCTGCTGTGGTGGTATTTGAGATGGCATGCACAAAGGGTCATGTTCATGTCTTGTAAATGTTAGGATGCATAATGTCATTTTTTGGTTTTGGAACTCTTGAACCAGGTGTGGCTTTGCTGGTAAGAAGTCCTAACCCTAACCATAAATGCACAACATACAGTGAATCATCATGTAGATTGCAAGTCGATCAAAGAGCAGGTGATGGGACATGACTATTTGTCAATCAAGTACTGTTCCAGCAGTTCACAGCACTGAATGTTCTGAACACTAAGCATTACTGTATGAAGGATCTTTGTGTTAAATCCTGAAGCATCCTTGGTTGCTAGGAACTGGGGTTATGTCTGTCACTTGCATTTGAGTTGATGCCATTGATGTGCATCTGTGAGCCTTAACATTCATATCTAGCAACTTGGGCCAGAACTGACTCAGTCTGATTACTCTTTCTCTTGTCAATATCATTCTGACCACCTCCTTATGTACTTCTCGTTCTGTTTAGGACTACTACTACTGAGCCTGGATAGAGACTTATTGCAAGTCCAGACCACGAGGCCCAATGGGTCCTCTAATGACTTGGAGTGGACGATGCTGGAATCTCTTTCAGTGTAGGTCGATGTTTGTTGTCTGTTTGCCCAGCATCTTTGATGTTTATCTGTCATATACCAGATCCGACTGCTCTAACATATTGATATCTGCTCTGCCCAACCCTATACCCCTTCCGCCTTTTCCCCCTTTTCCACTCCACCTGTCTCTGCTCAATCCAGTTGGTCTCCACATTCGCTCCTGTGCTTCTGCTTGACTGCCTCATCGGTCACTTTCCATAGAGTTTCCATTCAACTGGAACCTCTTTCCCCATTTAGGTATATACTTTCCCCTTTGGTACATAACACTTGCTTCCTGGATCACCGGCAATTCCTATAACCGCTCAATTATTGATCCATCGTGTACATATTGATATCTGCCCCGACTTATGTTTTCCCTGTAGTAATACTTACCAATTGTATACTCAGCACATAGCCTTATGCCATGAGCTACTGATCACTGCCTCCTCACATACATAGAAGTATATAAACATATCATGTACATAGCTAGTTTCCTTAGTCTTCATATTACTTGTCTTTCCTCAGTTTCTACTGGTGGGAATTCTCCATAGGACTTTGCTCACTCCGGACACAAGTTTCACCTTGTTGTCACCTTCCACTCCTCTGCTCCAACTTAGAGCCGTGCTCTAAGTTAACCTCCCTCACTTCCCTCCGTGTCATACAACCAATCCCCTTGTCCCCTTCACTCCAACTTCCTTCCCCCACTCCGCTTCTAGTTGGTCTGCCATTAGTAAGCACTTTACCTCCCAACCCTCAAAGCAGACCAAAGCAGTCCACTTGTCCTATTGTTGGACAACATTGGTCCTGCTCCAAATTCAGGGCACATACTCAGCTATGGGCACAGTGCAAGAGCTGAAGCCAAGCCCTGACCCCTCCACTTCTCCATCCGAGCATGGTACCTGCCTATAAACTATATGACCACAGCATGACCTTACAGTCTATCATATTGCATCAGATTTGGTTCACTGTGGATCACCAATGCATGAGCCTGGCCTCATGCCAAGTTTCCTTTACTAGAGAATTGTCAACTGAGCCATGTCCTAACCCTCAACCTTTAACACCAACAGAATCCAAATCTGCACAATCTCTAATGTGTTTAGATGATTACAACAATGTTCTGCAGGGCTTTAGTGAGGGTTGTGAGGGCCTAGAAGACATGGATATAGTAGCTTCGCCAGCACCACATTATGAGAATTTTGTGAGGTCCCTTCCCTGCTACATGTGACAAATGTCTGCTCACACTTTTTTGCTAGGACTTACCTATCAAAATGTTCATGAAGTACCACAATGAATATCTCAATGAGTTACTGTGTGTTGAGGGTCACTGTCATATATCTGATCCAACCGCTCCGATATTGATATCCACTCCGCTTTCCGACCACCTCCGCTCCATCCATCCTCCGCTCCATCCAATCACAAGTCCAAATTCTGCCCCTAGAGCCCCTTCAGTGACAAATCCCGTACTATATGGGTCACCTGACCTACATAATATCCCGTGTAATACAGGCCAGTGGATTATGGGCCGATGTTATGTATATTCCCGATGTTGACGGGTGGGCCCATCTATGCTGATGTTATATATATCATCGACGATGGTGGATGGGCCAGGAGAAATATTATTATGGAGATGGGTGGGCCCATGTGGGTAATATGTAGAGTAGGATTGACATATATTATAGACCTGAGGAGAGATGTATAGCAAATATTATTATATAGACGGATGGGCCGAGGGAGCAGTGGAATATTTATTACATAGACGGGTGGGCCGATGTAGGGAAATATTAGATAGACGGGTGGGCCGACGTGGGGTATTATTAGGTAGATGGGTGGGCTGAGGGTGAGGTGAATTATTTATTACATAGACGGGTGGGCCGACGTAGGGGTATATTAGATAGACAGGTGGGCCAAGGGTGAGGTGAAATATTTATTATATAGACGGGTGGGCCGACGTGGGTTAATATTAGATAGATGGGTGGGCCGAGGGTGAGGTGAAATATTTATAACATAGACGGGTGGGCTGACGTAGGGAAATATTAGATAGATGGGTGGGCCAAAGTGGGGAATTTTACCTAGATGGGTGGGCCAACGTCAGGTAATATTAGACAGATGGGTGGGCCCAGATACGTATCATATAGGAGTTTCGAGTTTCGAGTCGAGTACCGACACCCAACACCCAAGTACTGAGTACCGAGTCATGCTCGCTTAAGGCACTCACATGGCTTCGACTCTTAGAGTCTCGATACATCATCCCATTCAACTCCCTGCTTCATCTGTAATCGACTCTACTATGTGAGTCTTGTTGCTGGCTGACATGAGTCTCATCTGCAACTCTTAGCTAAGGGTTTACCCCAAATCTGTTCCATTGTACTACTCTCATTCACCCTTGTATTCCTCTCTTCACCCGTGTTCTCCATCTCAAATCTAACCACCATTTCATTCCCTCTTCCAAAATCCCCCCAAGATCACCTGTGTTTTCTCTTCCCTTTCCATCCTCACGCACAGCCGTATATATTTTTGGAAGA